TCCACGGAAAAATTCAGGTCCAGGGCTAAGTTGGCGCTTCTAGGTTGGTTCTAAATGGCGCCTGCACCAAGAAGTAGAAGTACCAGATGCCATTTTCGTAATCACTACCATCGGAATCCCTTGCAAGTAGACTTTTATCAAGTATCACCCAATCAATGCTGCACTAGCAGCCAACTTTGACCACTCACAATTTCTTTGGCTTTCGCATAGCAGTTTTGCTTTTCACATTTGTAACCAGCAAGACTCTATCAATTAAGGTCTTAATTAGGAGTTTCATGGAAATTTGGAACCCTTTCCTGGTAAGAAAAAATAAAGGAGTGCCCCCCTCCCCATCTAAAATTCCATTTTTACTCTTTCAGGCGCTAAAACATAACCTACAGTTACCTCAGAGAAAAGGTCTGCACTAAAAAAATATGTGGCTGAGAAAGTGCTCGAAGGGTCGAAGCATGGTAGCAGCAGAGTTTGAAATGAGGATACTTGTGAGGTGGAATGCGAGCACAGTGGAATTGTATTCAAAGCGATATTGTGCTCTAGTTGTGGCAACACAAAGAGTACCGAATGAACACCACCTAGTCGTAACAAAGAGAGAAAAGCGGCGTTTCCACTGAAAAAATAATAGCACGTAGCAGCAACAGCTGTTTGTGCAATGCAAGAGAAATCATTCACAAAAACTACATCGAGACCGAAAAACGAAGCTCAGCGAGTGTTCTTCGCACGAAGGAAGAAAGGACTGTGTAATCACGATGACCTGATTCATTTTGAGGCACCCACAGAAGGCACAGAAATTATCAATCTCAGTAGATTTGGGGATTCAGAATTCGAACACGAACGAAAAACATCAAGCCAGCCAAAATCCACGGACCGCTCTTCACCTTAGCATGTTGGCCCCAAAGACTCTGTTCACAGCGATCTGCTTACTCCGAATTTGATATATGTATCATGTATTATTTATTTATATTATTTTGATGCACGCATAGGTGCGCTATAACATAGCCAATAGTGTACCGCAATGAAGAGTGAAGCTTGACCGACCTTAACTCGTAAGGGAAAGAGAGTTACCACGCGGAAGACAAAAAGGAAATACATACCAAACTTCTGCCCAATCGAAGAAATTGTTGAGAAGACCTGGTGTTACCACGTTGAGCAGAACACGTGATACCAAAAATGACTCCAGATAGGCGGATGGCGCTAGGGATAACGCCACTCCTAGACGAGCTCGGAGCATACGTACGGAATCCGAAACCTGAATTTTTCGGGATGTTAGGTATTTCCTACCCCTAACAATTCAGTTTTTCAAAGATTATTTCAAAAGGAATAGGTGTTTATAGTCCCAATATCCCTTTATGGATCATCAAATTTGCCCTCTAGAGACGGGACTCCGTAATCGACTTTTATTCAGAATTCTGCGATATTTGAGGGCTTTTTTCACTAATGCAGTGGACTCCAAAGAACGCACAAACTCCAGCGCTTTTGGTCGATGCCAATTTTTCGAGAAATGCAGATTACTTCATCACCTCACGCCCATTCACAGTTCACAGAAAGCCTAGAATTCATTGCCCACCCGTAACATGAGGAGGATTGACGGGGAAGTTTGTGGTACTGTCATACAACTAGCGTCTGAAAACCCATCAACACCCCATCCCAGGCTCAAGCATGGTACGAACGAGGTCTCCTCCAAAGCCCAAGCCCCCTCCCCCTCTTCACCTTGAGCCTACCACAACCCTTTTCAGGTTTTCTAGGTTCCTCCAAATTTTTACAAGCGATACCTTATGAGGGCTGCGTTCCTGTAAGTTCACTGTACCTAAAAGGAAACGAAACGAAATTTTTTATGCGATTTTTTTTAAAACCATGGCGTCTCAAAAGTATAGGTTTATTTCGTTTTTTCCTTGTGTTTCTATGAAGATAGTCTGTAAAAGCTTGCTTGTTATTGCTTCCCCCGTTTGTGTTCTGCCTGGTGCCATTCCAGGCAACACAACTATCAGGGTAAAACGGAAAATTAGGGATTACAGGGTATGTTATCCAGAACCGCAGCATCTCTAGAAAAGCTTTCAAGTCTCAATTTGATTCAGGAACTTTTGCCGGCAACATGGAGTCCTACGGTACAAGTGCAAGAATCTCAATATCGGGGGGGGGGGGGGGGTGGTTGGACTTCCTGAGAGGGAATCCATAACAGCGCGTCCAACAATAAAAATGTCCGAGCAAGAATGGAACTGGCATTCGATGCGCTAAAGAGTTCTCACGATCGTGTCTTCTACAACCCCGGCAGAAGTCGTGAGAGATTCTCTTTCGTCTCTAAGGTATGTGGACCTCAGGACAATAACAGACAATGACTTTGCAGGACCCTAGCACCATTGTGTGCACTCCCGTGTATGGAGATCGCCAACAACGACGTTATGGCTCTGGAAGCTTAGCAAATTAGCTGCAGCAGCTGCAATTTCCCCGTCCGTAGCAGGCTGTTGTCTGGCGCCCTCTCATCTGTTGCGCTCTCTCGCCTCATACTCTCCTCTCCGCGCTCAGTCTCTCATTGCCTTAGCACAGCCGCATTACGAAGGTGAGCAAGCTCTTCAACTCAGCATTTCCAACAGATTCCTGTTCTTTTTTATTTACCAGCTCATTGTGGTATGTCTTTGAATCATGTCTCTTCATTACACGATAGACTGCTTAAAGCGAGGGATTACGATAAGATTGGGTTGGGTTCATAGTGGAAGTGGGGATGCTGAATAATGCCCCAGTGGCGAAAAAAGCAAAGAAATCCGTCAAGAACGCGCAAAATGGGACCCTTTCTTTGCCCGTTGACCTCCGATAATGGACGAGCTAGCAACCAATTAAGAGGTCGTTTGCACCATAAAATACTTCATATAGCATACATTTATCGTAATTTGTCGCTTTAAGGCCAGTTCGGACTCGGGGACAGTCTAAGTCTTACCATGGCTAGAAGTGCTGGGTACGCAAGTGCAAAGGTAGCGCCACCTTTCTACGTCGAGACGGGTCGCCGGGACCCTAGGCGCCATGGACTTCTAACAGACTCCACCAAACTTAACATGGTCCCCCCGTTCGATATCTTTTGTCCTGCAGTTGCTTGCAGATTGATCTGCTATGCTCTCTCTTCTCGGACTTCTCTACCGCTCTCCGCGCTCACATTATCTCTCATCTCCCTGCCTGTCTTTTGAACTTCTCCACAGCATAGAGCAAAATGCTCGTATTTCCTGTGTATTTCAGGATTTTCTTTCCTTTTTTTCTCCATTGGCGGTCCACCTCCCATCCCTACTTTCACATTTGAGTGGAATCATAATCATTAATCCGATTCTGCTTTTACTTGCGTTTGTAGCATGCGCAAGGAGCTCATTGTCAGTGTTCTTTTTGCCAAGCAGTACAAGCAAGGTTTTTTGGTGATTATCAGTTGTTTTCTTCACATAGTACAATACAACAGTACAATGGTACAAGTAGAGTTATGGGATGCAACGACCAATCTGACGTTTACTTGCTATTGGGCGTGCCTCAACAAGAGCGTTGTTTTCTACCTGGCCAGAATTAAGTTCAATTATGAGTGCATGGGGCATCCGCATGGCCGAATAAGCTAAATTTCAAAGTTTTCAACTCAATTTATTTCAGACTGTCATGAGCGTAAACAAATCGTCCACTGTCTTTCTGGGAACGCAGTGAATGCCATACGTTTGGAACACACTGTACTGCCACTGCATGGTGGCACTAAAAGTCAAGAAGCATTTAAAGGAACCCTTCACGGAAAAATCATGATTCTATTTCAGCCATAAATCATGGCTAGAGACTCATTATCCACGATAAAAATGAAAAGAACAGAGATACTGCTTTTGTTTTGTAAAAAAAAAATTAGAAAGTCGAAACGAAAAACTCGAAAAGGCTGCTACGCGTTCGAATTGCCCACGGACGTCTTTCACGAATGCTGGCGACGGGGATGCTCAAACTTGGTTCTTGGAGTGCATTCACTAGAAGCTCTTTCTGGCCTTCTGCTTTATTGCATTCACATCTTACACTTCTACTCCATCCTATTCCATCGATCGATTTGTCTCTCTACTCTCCGAAATCGCGCGCTTTAACCCGATTCTTCATTGCGTCGTCTGGTACGGCAAAGGCCAACTTCTTTCCATGCCTCGCCTTTGGCTCCGCCCGAATTACCTTCGATGTCCATAGAGTGTAGTTTTTGACGTTTGTTTCTCTTCGGAAACCGAATCTTCATGCGTGAAACTTTGTGTGCTGTTTCCAGTGATCACAACTGACAATCATGTCTAGAAGAAATGCAAGAATTGCTTCCGCTAATTCTTCAAGCCTATCCTTTTGCTTTTCTCGACCGCAACCGGATTCAAATGGAAATATTGTATGTCGTACCTAGTTACTCGAATTACTTAGTTGACTATTTACCTTATTCTTTTTGTCATCACTTGAAGATTTCGTTATGAATACACAGAGTTCAACCTTTACAAAGAGATGGGCTGTAGTAAGCAATGGTATTTAGCAGCTCAGCTTCAGATGCTCGCTGATGTCATGCACGAAATTTTATTCTCATTATACAGAAAAAAGTAGTCAATCACAACACTAGTGGAATGTAGTACAGTCATTTAATAATGAAACACGTTTTCAAACACGCACAGTTTTCTTCTTACTAGATTTAGAATAACCGGTCCGATTTCACAAGTGGAAAAAAACAATCTGTAATACATATGCCCGTTGCAAATCGCGACATCAAAGTAATTGTAGGAGATTTCTGTTATAAAAGAAAAAGAAAAAAGTTCCGTCAACATGAGAAGAATATCATATACTCGCTGGAGGAAGAGATGTCTATGCTACAAGTCATGCAATAAATATAAAATAGTTAGAATTTCACAGGAGAAAAGTTAGAATTATTAATGCCTTAAGAGGTAGAAGCTTAGTTATGTGAGTTGAGTTTCATAAAAATTGGGCAGCTTTATGCTTCCATTTTAAGAAGGCAATCATGCAGCAAAGAGCCTCACTTATTAGACCATCTAGAAGACATACACAACCAACTCAGCTACTCCACCGATCATGGTAATACCCCATTTCCACCACCCGACAGCCATATCCGGAGTCTGACGACGTCCTTGAATCAAATGACGAAGTTGGCGTAATGTCTCCGAGTGCTGATGCTCACCTGAGACAAAATTGATACCCATGATAAGAAACAAATTCGGATTATGTTCCTCACCGAGCGACATGTAATGTTATCATACACATGAGGCAAGCAAGGCTTGATTGAAAAAAAAGTGTCACTAACCATGAGCATGATGAGAGGCGACAGCTATTTCAATATTATTAGTGTGCTTTGGATTAGAAGGTGTTGCGGCAGGCTGAAAGTTTGATTATTAACAACAATGTAAAAAATGAAATAACTTCATAAGTTGGTCCCCAAAAGCGACATGGTACACATCACCTCCAACTCGGTCTCCCCCTCATAGTCACCTTCACCAAAGTCTATTCGAAATAAAAGGTCCTTTAACCGCGAGGTAAGATTATTTCACGCGAAAATGAACGCTGAACTGTGAAGTGACTATTAGAGAGAAAAAAAAACGAAAGTACAAAAACGCTGGGAATGAGTAATGAGTAAGGAACTGTTTCATGAGATGGAAACAGGCGCTACGACGAAGAGACAATGACTACCAAGTGGAGAGAACAGGTGAAAGCATCTGGCAGCAAGCATCCAGTTGGTTCAGTCACGACGATTTTAACCGCAGCTCTTTAAGATTTTTCCACTTTCAATGAATAGCTTTTTCCTCTTTATTGAAGGGATTGATCCACCTGGCTTAATTATGGAAATGTGCCCTTACTTACCCTATCTCGCATACGAGGAGGTGGCAGATTTCTTCCTACCGCAGTCATGACGTAGATTAAAAATTTTGAGAACGACCCTTGCAGTGCTAACAGAGTGGAGATTCGTCGAGGAGTTTACTTTACAGTTCTCTCACAGTCAGCAAGTGAGACCCGCAAGCTCCCTGTCAATTTCCAGAGCAAGCTGCCCTTGTTACTCTGAACGGTTCGCTTCTTTTCCTACTCCGCACAGAGGGAATTCTGCACATACTTCCGGTCCTAAGCATGTCTGCGCTTCTCCGCTCACACAACACGAAATTTTAGGCCTTTGGTGATGGTAATGCGGTTCTTTCTTGAAAAAAAATGATACAGTAATGACTTCTTCACTAACATTTTCGAGGAGGACCCAGAAGCGTCGGTATTCCGGCATTTCGAAACCGTAAGTCATGAAAACGAAGTATGTAGTGCGGCGACCGAATTCCTCGATATCAATGTTCGTGAACGACCACTTCACCAATTCGTAGCCAGCCAGTGGTGTCACATGAAGTGACATTTTATCAAAACCACCGCGAAGCTGAAAATATCAACATTGACGTCGAACTGGAAAGAAATTGTCAACATCCTACCTCGAAAGTGAGGTTTAATCTATTCCCGCCAACACGAACGCGATCAATGAGCGATAGCTTAATCGGATACGGCACTGGAGCTGGCGACGGCACAGGAACCCAAAGTGAATGCCTATAACGTGCCAATTTTCATTAAAGAAACATCTCTTGAATGAACCAACAAATCCAAACTCACTCAGGTGGGAACAACTCATGTATAGCTGTATAGTATGGTAGCCGACAGTACTCATCTTTGATTCCCGTGCAGTTCGGTGGCTTACTTCCTTGGAGGAACGAATGAACTGGCAAATCTTCTGCACCTCTGTAAATAGAAGCAGATCAAAAGGTCGCCTTCTGCGATATGATGTGGCAAAAAAATCCATAAACTTCTCATCCCACACATCCCCAATTTGTGCCCATACAGTCAACCCAATGTAAGGCTCATGTACCCGTTCGAAGAGAAGTTTTGGAGCACTAGTTTGCACATTCGGCAATATCTCTACATGAAGAAGGCCTCCTAACTGCTGCAACAGCACCAAATGTCTCTTACAAGTGTTATTTCAAAAAAAAAAAACTCAAAAGGATGTGACATTAAGAAAGAAGTTTACCATTTATGAAGGCAAAAAGAAACGTGGGAGAAAAAAGTACTCCCACAAAAACGAGGTGTTGTTTTTCCAAGCTACTCATCGGCCTGCACACGCTGCTACTCACACTCTTTACAAGACGTATTCTATTTCTTATCTAGCAACAAAAATCTTGTGCCATAAAGGAGAGATGCAGCCGTTTTGAATGAAAGGCTTGATAACACAGC